CAATAAATTCCAGGATTAGCATCACTGAAAGCAACTAGCACCGTACACTGCACAAATGTCTGTAAATTAAACAGTCTGTCGGTTTTTCGGAGTATGACAGCTGACCCCCTCCTGGAGGGGCAACAATATGTATTGGAAACCTACTAAAACTGCAAATGACCTCTGCGTGTCATATGTGTTTTGATGCTTAACAATAACCTTTAGAAACCTTTGGAAACAAAGTCCAGTAGTTTGTTTTTTTTACTTTTTTGCAGTGACTATAATCTGTATGACTGAGATTCTTCACCAGAATTACCTTTAACTTAGTTAGCTCTAGAATTTAAAGGGAGCTCAGACTGCTGTGAAGCAACGCCGAGGGTCACATGACTCAGTCAGTGACAGATCTGACCCTCTCTGGTTACACAGCCTGCACGCAGCATCAATACACACCAACAAGTGCTTTATATTGACCTGAAAAATCGTTTAATGTATCTCAAATTGAGTCAAAAATGATGCAATGTTACTTTATATAATAATAAATGTATTTTAAAGGAACATTTTAGGCTTACAGCTAAACTTTATCCATCAGTAAATGATTTGCTTTTGTTGTCAATTTCCTGATCTAATTTGTATTTTTCTAAGGAAAATAAAAGCTGGGATTTATTTACCCTGTTTAGAATCTATTATGCTAGAGGAGCTGGTGTAGTCATTGAATTCATATGATAATCCAACAATTTATTAATATAACAGAACACATATCTTTTTATATTTTTAAATAGGAATATAGGAGGAACATTGACAGCTCCAAAGATTTTTTAATCTACTGTTTTCCATTTCATTTATATATTTTAACTTAATGCTGGTCTGTGTTTTCTGCTTGTACAGATAACTACTTGCCTTAAAAATCATAAAATGAGACAGATTGAAACTAATCCTTGGTGTGAAGGAGGACCATTGAGGATGTTTGAGCAGAAATACGTTCCCTACCTGTCTCTGAATATGAGGAATCAGTCATTGGAGTATCTGGCGACTGGCAACATATCAGTGAACTTGATGCCTCTGATTCCTCCTCTTCTTCTTCCTTCATCATTTCATCAACATCCTCTTCCTCATCCACATCTCTGCATCCTTCTGAGTGTTCCTCTTTTCCCATTTCCTCCTCCCTGCTGTTGTCCAGAGGGGTTTTCTGGATGGGGCAACATGATCCTGCCTCCTCATTTTGGGGAATCGGGAGAGTTTGTGCAAGCGTCTGATTGAGGTTTCGAGTTTGAGCTGTGAGGGCTTTGGAGTCTGAAATGTTGTCACAGAGCTCAAAGGCATCCACGCCAACTTGTGACATTGCGCTGCCCTCCATCTCAAACAGACCTGAGGACCAAAAGTTGAAATCAGTTGAGTTGGGAGAATAATAAGACATTTAAAGAGCTGGAAAGTCAGATTTCACAAATTATAGAACAACTTTCACTGTTCTGAGCTCACGATTGTTCTGAGACTTTATTCTACCATATATCTTGTAAAATAAATCAGGAAGTCCCTACCATGATCCATTGGCTTCAGCAGCTGGAGCGTCAGTGACGGCAGTCATGGAAGCCCCTCTTTAAGGCTGCAGGGACGACAAAAACAAAACTAAACAAACCGAGTTGACATAAAGGTTCAAAATTACTAACAGGGTTGCGGTCTATTTAAAGAGAAGGCGAGAAAAAAAACTCAGAAAACAAGTTTTTCCTCATTCCCGAGCTGCCATATAAATGTTGGACAGATAAGGCAATGGAGAGCGACTCCATTTCTTTACACCATCTGTGATGACCTGTGATGCCAGATCCTTCTAGCTCAGGTCAGGGGTCTGCAGCCTGCAGCTCTGGAGCCCAGCAGCTGCTTCAATCGGCCACATGGGCTCTTCAGTACTTTCTATAGAAAGTATCATATTTCTAGTGAGATGTAAAAAGAAGATGAAGGTTGAGCCATTTTATTTTATTTTCTTTATGAAAAGCATCTATTGAATTATCACAACAAATTATACTAAAATACTAGTGGTATTTTCTTTAGATCTACTTTTCCTGTCAGGAGGTTGAAATTTTTGAAAATATATCCATCCTCGTTATGCATTTGTCTTTCTTTTTATTTTAAAATTATGTAACGTTTGTTGCTCTAAATTAGTTTTGGAGCAGATTGTAAAAATTTAAACCATTTAAGCTGATGAGAACTACTAACTAGAAAGATCTTATTTACAGTCAGAAACATGCAGTGTGATTTATTATGAAATAGGAAAACATCTACATGCTCAGATGAATAAAGCTCACTGGGCATTTCCTCCAAGGGAATAATCTGGTTCTGTTTTTTTGTTTGTTTATTTGTTTGTTTTTAACTAACCTTTGTTTTAAAGAGTGGGAAATGATTGGATTTATTCATGCATTTATACCATTAGGTCAAATATAAAAAGCTGTCATGCATCTCACTCAGGCGTAATTAATGCATCTGAAAGTAAACAATGTATTCACTTGACATGCAGAAACTGATGGCCTTAAGTGAAATACAAAGGACACAGCTGCCTTCAGACGCTATTTATCATCTGATAAATAACGTCTGTGCCTCATTTAATTTCATTATAAATACATCTCTTCTGTAAAGGAGTGAAAATTTGTATTTTGTTTTTATTCAGATAAATTCAGTAATGTCCTAAACTGCTAATTCTGAGTTTCTTGGGGACATTTGGAGTACTGTAACTTGAATTAGTTCAATTTTGAAATAAATAACTTGACAAATCTGGTCTGGATTATTCCATATTAAATAAAGGTTATTGAAAGCAAAATATGTGATCCATGATACTTTTATTTATTTTTGTAGCAGCAAAGAAAAAATGTTTTGTTTGGTGCTTTAAACCTCAGTTTGTAATGCAGGAGGATCAAAAGACAAAATAGAATCTCTGAATTTTCTAAATGATTTGCTTCTGATTTCTTTAGTAAATCTAAACCCAAAAAGATCATGAAGTTAGACAAACAACAGTATGGTTTCAAAATAAAAATGAGGTATTATGTTAATTATTCAGACATTCGCTTTCGATAATCAGGGCTGTTACTCTTGATGTAAATTTCCAGACTCTTCTGAACTTCGCGGCATTAAACACTTAAACGTCAAAGATGACGCTAATCTGGAGCAAAAACAGGCAGGTGAACAAAGAGGAAAATAGGTCTAAAGTGCAAGTCAGTATTGAGCAATAGCAGGCTTTTTTTCCATTTTACCCTCCTTGCTTATGTTTACAGTTGACTCAGCAACAGTGGAGACTGACATAACTTGATGAACCACTTTAAGCCTTTAGCAGCAACAAAAGTTGGACTTTAACATGCTGATCCGAACACAGATTTCAGACCAAAGCTGCAGTTTAAACTGGCACTGGTTGTTTGCTGAATTCACTTTTCAATAAAAAAAAACAACAACCTCTAAATGAAAGTTAGAATTAAGTGGTAACAGCAGATGAACTACTAAGGAAGGTGAAGACAAACAAGCAAATAGAAAGCATGATTAAGCCATGGCACTATAGGAAAACAATCCCAAATCTCAAGCAACATACAGATCCAGGTTAATTAAAGCCCATCTCAGAGGAACAGAGCTGTCCTGGTTTTCATCTAAAGGGAGACGAGAGCACATAACACGCTGTGACCACTTATGATTCAGGAACCTTGTATATTTTAATAAGAGACACCACCCTTTGAATGAAAGAACTGTTTGATTTTCATCTGGTGGTAAAAAAAAAAAAAAAAAAGGACAAATCAAACAGGAAACTTCCAGTTACTGAGTGACCCTCTGGGCTATAAACAAACACACACCATGAAAAACAACCCTGACATTGGAGTTTTACGCCTCAGTGCCCTGCAGACTTCCATAACAGACGTTATTCTGCCTTGCTTTAGGAGTTTCTCTGTAATGCAGCAGCACCAAATCCCTGGGGGTGCACATCACAGACATCCTCACCTGGACTGTAAACAACACCTCACTGATCAAAAGGGCACAGAAGTGCATGTACTTCCTGTGGAGGATGAAGAGAGCCCACCTGCCCCCACCCATCCTCACCACCTTCTACAGAAGCATCATAGAGAGTGTTCTGACCAGCTGTCTCACTGTGTGGAGGCTGCAGGTGAGAAGAGTGGTGAGAACAGCAAAGAAGATCATTGGGACTCCTCTTCCCTCCATAAAAGACGTTTCCTCCCAGCGCTGCGTGTCCTGACCCCATTACATCATCAATGACTCCTTACACCCCCACCATGGACTGTTCTCCCTCTGAGAAGAAGCTTTGCAGCATTCAATGCAGATCCAACAGATTCTGCAACAGTTTCTTCCCTACTGCCATCAGCCTGCTGAACTGCTGAAAAAACTCTAAAAAAATAAATAAAGTAACTCTATAGAAACTCTAAATCATGTCACATATTCTGCATCACTGTCATAACACCAAACCACAAATACTGCATAATTGCACCATATATATTAATGCTCTGAACTTCAATATCAATGCATTTTTTTGCACCATGTTTTTTTTCTCCCACACTGTTTCCATTTGATCACTGATGCACTTTATGGAATGGAAATGTTAATTTATTTTCTGAAAAAGCTGTACTACACAAAATTTTGTTTTGTACACACTCTGTGTATACAACATGACAATAAAAGTTGTCTAAGCAAGTCTGCAGGTTCTCCTCCTCTAATGCTCCTCTCCCACAGAGCCATCACCCCAAAAACATCCATCCTCTCTTCATGTCGGTGTCTTTACTCCACAGGGGGGCATGAATAATGCAAAACAGAGGAGGACACAAGCAAACGGTGTCATTCAGCCAAATAAGCATGAGATGTGCTGTTGGGTGGAGCACTGATGTTGGCCAGAGTTCAAACATTCATAACCTCAGCAATGAATAACAGATCAGTTCAGACATTATGTCCATATTTTAAAGACAGATTCATCCTCCTGCACACACAAACACGCAGCATCATCCTTAGAATGAGTGATTGTGGAGTAAACGAAACTAAATAGCCGTCAGCTAGCCATGACTGACAGCTGAGCTCTTCATTAACATGTTATACATACATGTATATTATCTGTCAGTTGCGATCAAGCCGAAATAAAAAAGAGGTTTGTGCCGATTCACCAAAAACAGAAGGAAAACCACCGAGAGGAACTAAGAAGCGCTTGATTCTAAGCAGGTATATGACAGTCCTCAGTGTTAGGGAGACAGATTTCCCTCCTCAGTGACCGTTGCTAGCAGGCTAACATAAGCTAGCTCCGCGGGTCGGACAGGAGCAACATCTGGCCACCTTCTAACGCTCTCCGGAATTTTCTTCACATAAACCCGCCTCAGCCGTAGAAAAATACACTTACTACTGTATCGAGTAGTGGAGACACAACGCATTAAACATGTACTTACGGATGAAGGGCAGAGAGATCCGCATCAGACACCTTGCCGAGGATGTTGTTGTTGTACCCGCAGTACAGCACACAGCCTGGGGTCGATCGCTGCTGCTGCTTCTCTCTCTCTGGGCCCGAAAACAAAATAGGGGAATTAGCGCCATCTGGTGTCCTGTTACCGCATACACACCCACAGTGCTTTGCATGTGTTTTCCTAATTTGTTCCTACTTTACAGCCACATAAGTTATTTATTGTTGTTTAATATAACAGCCCAACAAACCGCTTAACTATTAAGTGGAATAGTAGATATTTATAAATAATACCTTTTATTTTGCTGCATGTTTGTGCCGAGGTAGGTTTGTATCTCTTAAAACCAGAGGTTGGTTCTAGCTAGTTATATTAATTCACATTTACATTTTGTTTCACTTTAACTGTTATTTTTACTTGTGCAAGAATATGTTTAAGTATCATTAGTCTTACTTGAGTAAACATTTCTCGCTACTCTACTCATAATTTCACTTACTGAAAAAAAATTGCAAAAGGGTGTAAATGTGTATTTCGGCCTGATGTGTTTGTGTAGGTGTGTTTGTTTACATAAATGTATGAAGATGAGGAGATTCAAACAGATTTCATGAACCTGGCTATGATGTTCAAATCTTAATAAAGTTACCAAACCCAATTTTGTGTTTCATTTTTGTCAGTGAAAAGAAATTAAGGGTTTTCAATTCAATAAAATGATTAGGGTAACCAAATTTTTGCACCAGTCAAGTTTTGTTTTAATGCATATTGCATATTTTCTGTTTGTCCAATAAACCTCAATTCAATACTGAAATATTACTGTGTCCATCAGTTACTAGATATATAGATATATCAAACTGAAATAGCTGTTGCAAACACCCAAATATTTAGAAATGAAAATAATTCAGATTAATAGGTGTGCCCAAACCTTTTCATTCATATATATATATATAAATTGTGTATATATTTACATATACACAGTATAAATATATGTATACACTACTGTTCAAAAGTTTGGGGTCACATTGAAATGTCCTTATTTTTTAAGGAAAAGCACTGTACTTTTCAATGAAGATAACTTTAAACTAGTGTTAACTTTAAAGAAATTCACTCTATACATTGCTAATGACTATTCTAGCTGCAAATGTTTGGTTTTTGGTGCAATATCTACATAGGTATATAGAGGCCCATTTCCAGCAATTATCACTCCAGTGTTCTAATGGTACAATGTGTTTGCTCATTGGTTCAGAAGGCTAATTGATGATTAGAAAACCCTTGTGCAATCATGTTCACACATCTGAAAACAGTTTAGCTCGTTACAGAAGCTACAAAACTGACCTTCCTTTGAGCAGATTGAGTTTCTGGAGCATCACATTTGTGGGGTTAATTAAACGCTCAAAGGCTACGTTCACACTACAGGCCTTTTTTTGCGTTGCTGTTCATATTTCCAAATATATGCGACTTGTATGTGATCTCCTGTGTAAACTGCAGTCATACAACGCAAGTGTCCCGCATGCGCAGTAGAGGACGCAATGACATCACAGGCCAGCGTGCTTTTTTTTTCCGGAAGTAAACATGGATGGGAGGGCGGCGCGCATCTAGCGGTCTTTTCCAACCATGAAAACACAATCTTTTCAATTAAACAATAATACTGCTCTCCGCATCATCATCTGCTATTTTGATTGTTTTTTTTGCCAGTTCTGCGTAGCAAGACGCAGAATAGTGACCTTTGTCAGGTATTAATGGCGTTCAGGTTGGATGAAACCATCCTTGTCGTTCACACACAGGTCGCATTTGAAAAGATTGGATTCAGGACCACATAGCCAAGTGGCCTGGGTCGGATTGGAAAAAATCTTATGTGTTTTTCAGACTGGCATAAAAATTTTAGATCCAGGTCGCATATGGGCAATAAAATCGAATTTGGGTCAGTTCAGGCTGCAGTGTGGAAGTAGCCAAAATGGCCAAAAAAAGAGAACTTTCATCTGAAACTCGACANACTTGATGAACCACTTTAAGCCTTTAGCAGCAACAAAAGTTGGACTTTAACATGCTGATCCGAACACAGATTTCAGACCAAAGCTGCAGTTTAAATAATATACATACATATATATATATACATATATATATGTAATGTAAACATCGTTTTATAACAGGTCTATTCAAAGATATTTAGAAATATTTCTTCCATCTGAAATTGCTATTCTGTAATTAATGTCTATATAGATTTTTCTGTATTTGAAACACCAAAAATTGCATAGAACTTTATATGTTGTATGAATTTACATCATTTTCAAATATTACATCAGATGTTATATGTTGTTGATCGTTACTCAGTTCTTGGGCAGCCTTTTACCCAATAGTGCTGCTACTCGAGTACATTTATTTTGGTACTCATTCCACCTCTAGTTGAGACTGAGAATTTAACTACTGGTAATTCTTTTCAAGGTTCAGAATAATTCAGATTAGAATAGATTTTCCACAAATGAGCTTTCACATCTACTGTACAGTGTTGGATCAAAGTTGGGTTTATGTCTGGTCTTTACAAAGTACAAAGAAATAAAGTGTACAAAGCTCGAATCATCAAATTTTCTTTTTATTATTACCAGGAAAGCAAAGAAATGCTTTAATGTATCATCAGGCAGAGGACCATTAAAACCTGGGTAAAATGTAAAAAATGTCTGTTTTTAAATTAAATAACAGTTTAAACATCTCATAAAGCATTACATTTTACATAATTGGATACAATTGGTGACCCATGGAAATATGAAAATACAATACAGACTTTGTTATGTTGTAAAACGTACTACTGCATTGCTTCTCTCCCCAAACGACAGGTTCACTTCACGCCATGATGTAGGAAGGTAGTAAAGCTGCTACTGCGGATTACTGACTGAACAGAACTGGGACTGTGTTATCCAGAGAGGCATGTTGGAGTTATGAGATCATTTGCATATCCTGATGTTTCAGTGATGTATGAAGGGTGCCTCTGTCCAAACTATGAAGTCACAGCAACATGATTTAAAAAAAAAAGTCATGTAAAGCATACCTTAATTGGTCTTCACAAACCCACACAAACATTTAATCAGTTTCAGTAACAGAGCTATTTATGATAAACTCATAAATCATTTGTTACACTTGTATGGCTAAACATACATATTACCTTCCTTAATCAGCACATCAGTTGTACTCAAACATATATTTAAGTTCAGTTTGTTTCGTACAAGTCTGGATGTCCTGCTGTGTTTGAGTTCAGTCGGTCTGAAAGTGTCCCATCTTTGTCCTATTTTAGCCCCAGCCTTCCCTCTGTGTGTTCTCCAGTATCTCTTCATAAAGCCAGCTCTGTGTGAACTCCTGACTCTTGTCCATCAGCTGGAAAAGCCGAAGATACTCCTCTGGATACACGTTGCCAGTCAGGATGTCCTCAGGCAAGCCCAGCTCTGACACCAGCTTGCTGCCACTATCAGGTGACCACAGACTAAAAACATCAAAAGGCAACAAATAAGAGGCACAGAAAAAAAGATGAAAAAGCAGATTTTTCAAGTGGAGCAGCTTGTGCTACTGTAACAGGGAAACATTTGCCGAGTCTTCTAATTACCATCACAGAACTCGGTTTTGAAGCTACATGTATAATTAGTGTGATAGCTTTGGTTAATGCAAACCGGCTTACTTGAGCCTGTCGACGAGTTTGACCTTCCTTTTTGCTAAACACTGTTTGACCATCATCAGCAGAGTGGAGGCATTTGAGGGGGTGAGGCCTGCGGAGAAGAGGTCGGCCCGTGGACGTAGGCGGACCAGGCACAGGTGGTCATTTGGAAGCTGGGGGAGAAAAAGGCCAGATGTAGCATAAAAACCTCTAAGACATTCTTATATCACTGCTGTTAATGGAGTTGCTCCGTTACCCTGCCCTTGGAGCTAGGTACACTCTGCCTTGAAGACACAATAAATGACTCCCAGGGCTCCTGCACACAGAGAAAAAGAGGTTGAGGATTGAAAGGCGAACTAATGTTCCCCTATTTGAGCTGATGATGTGCTGCAGACATGAGTCGGTTACTAGTATAAAAGTTCATCCAAGGATTTAAAAATTTGAAGTTCCAAAACTACTCAAAAGTTTCCATCCCATCCTGGCCCCTCCTAGACTTATTGATGGATACAGCAAACCACAGCGCATTGAAACAACTTTGGTAAAACCACAACACCCAAATATGCACTGAGGCCATGAAATTATAAAAATCTTTATCCATACTGGATTTTTATAATATGAAGTGAAAGTGAAAACTCACTGTTTTTGTTTAGAAGTCATCAAGTTTCTACAAAATTTTAATCTTTTATTGCATTTTATTAGGTGATTATTTATATTGCAGCTTCTAATTTATAGCTGCTACCTTGGCAAGGCTGCTTTATAAAATAGATCCTAATACAAATGAGACTCCCTGTTTAAGTAAAAGTAAATTAATTTAAAATAATGTAGCAAGAGCCAATTCCATAATGCCTACTGACAGCATATTACTGCTGGAATTTTTTTTTAAACCAACAGCGTATTAACTTAACTAGGTTGATGGAGCGACAGCAATATAATATTTTGCAAAGTCACAGACATTTAGGAGACATGATGATTATGGTAGCACATTTCACAAACTTGCTTGTACCTTGTGCAAAAGTTCAACGTCACAAGCCATCTGCCAGAGAACACCAAAGGCTCTGTAGTACATCATGTCCCCCGGACGTGACACCAGTTTCTGATGGATTAACAAGGTTTACACATCATTAGATCAGTTAACACCAGATAAACTAAAATCAGTACCACAAAATAGAAATGTTTGGTTTATATCAGCGACAAATGTGATAATTATTTGCTTTTGTTCATATGTTTAATCCACTATTTAATTCTAGTTAAAATACGTAATATATTATTTTTATCTACCTTGTACTCCCTCTCACTGATGAAGAGGTTGAGCTCTATTCTTCCATATCTGTAGACAGACAATCGCTCGAACAGAGCATAAACCATCTTCAGCAGCATGCCACGCTCGTTCCGCTGGGGCAGGATTCCCACCACCTTCACAGGGATGTCTGCAGAGGTGCACAAATAAACACATTAATAAACA